GAAGGGGAGAGAGAGAGGAAGAGAGAGAGAGGAGAGAGAGAGAGGAGAGAGAGAGAGAGAGAGAGAGGAGAGAGAGAGGAGACGATGAGAGAGAGAGAGAGAGAGAGAGAGAGAGAGAGAGAGAGAAGAGAGAGAGAGAAAGAGAGAGAGAGAGAAGAGAGAGAGAGGAGAGAGAGGGAGAGAGAGAGAGAGGAGGAGAGAGAGAGAGAGAGAGGAGAGCGAGAGAGAGAGGGAGAGAGAGAGGAGAGAGGAGAGAGAAAGAGAAGAGAGAGAGAGAGAGAGAGAGAGGAGAAGAGAGAGAGAGAGAGAGAGAGAGAGAAGAAGAGAGAGAGAAAAGAGAGAAAGAGAGAGAGAGAGAGAGAGAGAGAGAGAGAGAGAGAGAGAGGAAGAGAGGAGAGAGAGAGAGGAGAGAGAGAGAGAAGAGAGAAAGAGAATAGAGATAGAGAGAGAGAAAGTGAGAGACAGATAGAGACACAAAGTGCAGTTATCATGCGGTTACATTAACCCATTGTTACCAGGTTTGAAATCGGTTACAGATGCAGAAGTCATGCGTTTTTCTTGTTAAAGTTCGTTTTTTTCATCATTACTTATTAATTTCAATGTACGATTTCCAGTATTTGTTTTACAGACGTAACTTTTAATGTGCTAGGACAGAGAATTGCATATGATGACTTAATTCACTGATGTTATTAGGAAAGCCCATCAATTCACTTGAAAATTGTACATTGAACACCTAGATATCATGCAAGGAAAGCATTAGCATATCTTATTCATAGGTATATAACAGACTAAGCAAAGAATGACATTTTTTTAACATTACATGCATGCAGACACAGTGTCGCTGACAATACAGTTATAACGAACGCCAGGCAGTACTATAAAGAAATCATTGCACAAAACAGTGGGAACATTATTGATAAATGCTTTGTTTAACTTCATTTTCATTTAGTTTTCTAATACCAACGTTCACTTTACGTTGTTTTGTTTGCTCAACCACAGAAATGAAAACTGAAAATCAGTAAGAAAAAAAAAAAAAAAAAAAAAAAAAAAAGGAAATTATCAGATACAAATGCATAAAAAAATAATGAAATAAACAAGATATGATACAGACAGACAAATAAGGAAATTTAACAACCATAAAAAAAAAAGAATGAAGGATGTCCACAAGCACATAAACCAAAAGATAACAAAACGAACGAACGAGTGTCAAACAAATAAACAAACAAGGTAAAAAACAAGTAATAAACTGCAGGTAGTCAAAAAAAAAAAAAAAAAAAAAAAAAAAAAACTAACATTATACGAAAAAAATAATAAAAAAAACAAACAAATAAACCCAAACTATATCAAAGTAACAAAAAAACACAAAAAAACTAAAAAAAAAAAAAAAAAAAGCAAAAAAAAAAAGTCAAGTAAAAAAAACAAAAAGGTATAAACCAAGGAAGAATGCTCTGCCCTCGATAGGCAAATGTTAGGAATGTCAGTGCGGGTGTGTACGTGAGGCTTTCGTTACACCAAGTAAAGAGATACACGGTATGTTGGGATATAACTGCAGGAACAGCCTTGCCATGATTGCAATGCAAGCGTGCGGTGTGGGTGTGTGTGTGTGTGTGTTGTGGGTGTGTAGTGTGTGTTGTGGTGTGTTGTGTGTGTGTGTGTGTTGTGTGTGTGTGTGGTGTGTGTGTTGTTGTGGTGTGTGTCTTGCCTTTCGGGTTTTTTTTTTTGCTTTTTTTTATGTGTGTTGCATAGAAAAAACAAAGAAAAAAAATATAGAAAGAGCATCAATAAAAAAAAAAAAAATGAGAGAAAAAAATAAAAGAGCATTCCCATCATAAAAGAGAAATAAAGAGAAATCACAACAACGACAATAACAACTCCCAATAGAGCAGAACCATAAAACAACCGAAAGCAAAGTCGTGTGCAGAGGCAGAGAGCAACGAAGTGTTGCACGTGGCACCACTTTCATTAAGCGAGTGCATCGATCACCCATCGCTAATTCCTCCATTCATTCTGTCCTTCGATTAAAAAAAAGATCCAGTGGATTTCAGCCAGCCAGGAGAGAGAGGAGGGAGGGAGGGGAGAGGGAGGGATTAAGAGAGAGGGGGGGGGGAAGGGGAGAGAGAGGGGAGGGAAAGGAGAGAGTTGAGGAGGGAAGGAGCGAGGGGTAGGGGAGAGGAGGAAGGAAGAGGGCAGGAGAGAGGGAGGAGGAGGAAAGGAGAGGAGCCCGCTAGCTCCCATAGCTGGCACACAGCTTAGGGAATCGAGGGATCGGGGCGAGAACACCGGGATTCGGAAGGCAGGATATTGGCTTCATTTTATTGTTCTTTTTTTTTTTTCTTTCTTTTCTTTTCCTTCGCGTTTTGTTTTTGGCTTTGCTTTTTTTTTTTTTTGTCTATTTCGTGGCTACTTGCTGCGGTGGGTGAACGGGAATGAAAGAGTAAATGAAATAAATATAAAGATAAGAGAGAGAGAGGGATCACCGAGAGATGAAACAATGAAAAGT